TAAAGCTTGCTGTGATACAGATCTAAATTGTGGAAAACAGTGGTTCTTTTATTGTTTTCACAAGAAGTTATAACATTTACATGAAAAAAAATTTTATCAACTGGTACATCTCATTGATTAACATTTGATTTACTTCGACCATCTTTACTGGGTGTTTCTTGCTTTGTTTACAAACATAGGTAGTGTCGGTTATGTGTTAGACACTACATCACTAGTTATCGCGGGAAAAGTGCACTGTTCATTAGCATACTGGATCAGCGCAAGGATTAGTTTATTTATATACCACTAACACGTCAGTCTTGTAAAAATAACCTGGTTTGTACAATATTTAATTTTGTGAATTTTCTTTCAAAATCTGATTTCAAGTTATTAATTATTGACTTATAATAGAAAATATTTATTATTGACTTAAAAATCAAAACTTTATTTGCACGACATATAACAATTTTTGACTGCATGCCCCTTGCACTATTTTCTCTCGCGGACTGACACAAATTCCAAAAAAAAATAAATGATAAATATTTAAGTTTATAAACACTTCAAAGCAAATCTGATAGCACATTCTTATTCTGTAGATCAAGAATATTGTAAATAAGCCAATACTATACAAGAACCTGTACGCAAAATACTCAAACGAAAATGTGATTAGTTTCGATACATGGGGAATCCCTTACAAATAACATAACATGAGTTGATACCATCAACTCGTAAAAAAACATAGGTTACCGGAGATTACAGAGCTCACCTCATCGGATGTTGTCTTTAAGTAAGGCAAAGTCCCACAGTGACACTAAGTAGTAATCTAGTAGTGAGCACATCTAGGTGGATCATTCATGCATTTTTGGTCTGAAAGGGCTTGTAGTTACTTGGGAATGGACTAATCTAAAAACATTAAACTATTCACTTGTCCCGAAAATGTAAGTTAAATTCAGCATCTGAAGCAAGTTTTATAGCGTTTTCCCTTGATGCAATATCTATTCAAGTTTGGTTCAGATAGACATTACAGTTTCTTGGAAATGAGATCTGCTCAAAAAATTATAATCTGGTCACTCATCCAAAAAAAAAAAAAGGTCAGATCCAGCATCCGAAGCAAGTTCAGTATTATGCATCCTTAGGTGTATCATCCATGCCAATTTGGTCAATATAGGGCTTATAGTTACTTGGGAATGAGACCTGCTCCAGAAACTTTGCCCTAATCACTCATCTGAAGCAAGTCCAGTAGTGTGCATCCTTACACGTATCATTCAAGCAAGTTTGGTCAATATAGGGCTTACAGTTACTTAGAAATGAGATCTACTCCAAAAATTTTAAGCTGGTCACTCATCCAGAAAACGTAGGTCAAATCTATCTAGCGTCGAATGCAAGTTCAGTAGTGTGCATACTTATATGTATCATCCATGCTAGTTTGGTCGATATAGGGTTTCTAGTTACTTGGAAACGAGACCTGTTTTAACAACTTTAATCTGTTCCAAAAACTTGAACCTGTTCCAAAAACTTGAAGCTGGTCTTTCTCTACCTGAAATTGCACATCTGAAACCTTGATTGGTACAATGAAGCACTCTGTTACAACGCACTTTTGAAAAATTACGCACTTTGAAAAAAATTTTCAAAGTGCGTTAAAATTTGGGACCAAGCTAACGCACTTTGAAAATTTTTTTTTTCAAAGTGCGTTAATATCGACCATATTAACGCACTTTGAAAAAATGTAAAGATTGATCAATATTCCTTCAAATAATCGGTATGATAAATAACAGATCCTGGTTTAATAACTTTTTTATGATAAAATCACTGTAGGACCTGAGATATTGACGTTTAAAATATTTAAGGTTTCGATAAAATAAAAGGGAAAATTAAAGGGTCTTGAAAAAAAGAGTGACGATTGTTTAAGTTCATCAATTCGTTTCTTCTTCTTTTTTTTTATTCTAGTCTTTGATAAGTAGATGTTAAAGGTGTATAGGGGGGCACTAACAGAGGACAGCTTCAAGCAACTTAGCATTTATCATAATAAAAAGGGGCCAATTTGATTGTTCAAAACTATGAAAATTCTTTCTCTGTCATACGTTTTACTGTACTTAAAAAAGTAGTTTTCATCTGTTTTGATTAACTCATTTATTATTGAAAGTTTTCAACGTCATACCAGTTAGGTAAATACATAATTATATGGATGCTTTGAGTATAGCATAGACATCGAGACTGGGCGAAGGGCCAGGGAAGGGGATGGGGGGCTAAGCCCCCCACTTATTTTGGAAAGATATATACATGTACATCGTTTTAACATTGAAAATGCAGCATACCCTTTCTAGGTTTATTGCTCCCCTACCCCGTTTGTTACCGACACCTATGTATTGGAAAGATAAGATTTGGACTGAGGGATCTTATACCCTTCTTCTCCTCTTTTCGACGGGAGTAAATCAATTCATTTTTGAGGTTAGGGTAAGGCTTTGTTTTTGAAAGAAAAATAACAAATAAAATCTTTCCATGAATAAAATATGATTTTTTTTTTCAAAGTGCGTTGTCTCCATGGTAAAATATATTGATGTAGACTCTTAACGCACTTTGAAAAATTTTTTCGAAGTGTGTTGATTTGGTCCCAAATTTAACGCACTTTGAAAAAATTTTTCAAAGTGCGTTGATTTTGTCCCAATAATTACGCACTTTGAAATTTTTTTTCAAAGTGCGTTGCCACAAAGCACATCAGAAGCATCCTCCATGCATCTCTGATTAATATAGGGCATAGAAGTCCTTGAAAAGAAAACTGCTCCAAAAAACTTTAACCTGGGATGCAGACGACAAGGGTATTATATAAGCTCCCCCTTCTTCGTTGAGGTGAGCTAAAAAGCATTTTCTTGACTTAACTTTTTTTAATAATGATAGTTCAATACTCTTATATATTTTGGGATAAAGTTAAGTTAGCTCACCTTAGCCAAAAGCTCAAGTGAGCTTTTCTGATCAAAATTTGTCCGTCGTCTGTCGTTGTCGTTAACTTTTCACATTTTCATCTTCTTCTCAAGAACCACTGGGCCAATTTCAACCAAACTTGCCACAAAGTATCCTTGGGTGAAGGGGATTCAAGTTTGTTCAAATGAAGGGCCAAGCCCACTTCAAAGGGGAAATAATTATGAAATAATGAAAAATTAATGGCATTTTAAAAAAAAACCTTCTCAAGAACCACTGGGCCATGAAAGATGAAACTTAAGAGGAAGCATCCTCAGGTAGTATAGATTCAAGTTTGTTCAACTTATGACCCCCGGGGGTAAGGCGGGGCCACAATGGCCGACCAAAGTTTTACATAAAATTATATAGGGAAACTTCTTTTAAAATCTTCTTCTCAAGAATAACAAAGCCATGGTTGTTCATATTGATATGGAAGCATCCTAAGGTAGTGTAGATTCAAGTTTGTTCAAATCGTGACCTCCCGGGGGTAGGGCGGGGCCACAATGGCCGACCAAAGTTTTACATAAAAATATATAGGAATATTCTTAAAGAATCTTCTTAAGAATAGCAAAGCCATAATTAGTATGTATACATGTATTTATATGGAAGCATTCTCGGGTAGTGTAGATTCAAGTTTGTGCAAATCATACCTTCTCACTGGTTAGGACTACTTTTGGGTTTAAACTTTTCAATAATAAACTAATTTCTGCTTTAAGCTAGCCACAGTGCTCAGGTGAGCGATGTGGCCCATGGGCCTCTTGTTAATTTCACAATGAAGGTCACAATTACCTTAAGGTAGGTTGCAACACACCTTCTACATGTACTCAAAATGCATTAAGGTCATACGCAACGTAATTTGAACTTTTTTGGATTCTTCCCTAGAGTTGAAGAGTTCCAATAAATGAAGGACCCGTTTGCAATATTTTTAATCTCTATATATGGATTTTTACACTTCTAAAACAATTTTTTACGAAAAAATCTGGAATTTATGTTTAATAATTTTTGTACATTTTAATTTGAATAATGCAGAATTTTTCAAAATTCGATATCTTTTCAAAACCCCTGGTAATGCATGCTGATTTATTGTCTAGGAACATGTAATGATATTACAGTTTAAAATTAGAACATCTTGGAAAATTATCAGTAGGTAAGGTACGTTGCGTACATGTATGTCCTTAATTGGCCAAGTTTGATGATTCTAGGTCTAATACTGTATGTAGTTACAATAGCCCACTTCATATTTTAGCAACTTGGCTGCGTAAAACAATGCGCTGATTCATAAATTATTTATGAATACAGTATATAGTGCATTTATGTGTAGCGCAAATTCATGTATATGCCCATTGATTGCGCTAAATTTTGAGAGCCCCAATTCACGTACATGTAGAGTAGTTTTCAAGTTATGAGCCAGAGAGGATTTTTAAAATATATTTGGCCAAACAATCCTAATTAAAGGTCACAAGGACCTATAATAAATGTGGGACACACCTTCTACCAAAGATGTATCAGCTGACAAAGTCTAATTCTAGGCCTAATGTCACCGGGTTCACAGGTGCGTGAACGTCTGTCAACATATCGGGTCTCAATAGCTCAGTGGTTAGAGCGCTGGCACGGTAGGCCAGAGGCCCTGGGTTCGAGTTCCGGTTGAGACTTGGTTTTTCACCACCTGTGACATTTGGCGCCCAACGAAATGACCCACTGTTCCCTTGGAATATGCTTCACGCATTTCCTTAACTCATAGAATTCGGGGACGAATTTCTACAAAAGAGGGGGAATATGTCAACAGGTTCAAAGGTGCGTGAAAGTCAGTCAACATATCGGGTCTCAATAGCTCAGTGGTTAGAGCGCTGGCACGGTAGGCCAGAGGCCCTGGGTTCGAGTCCCAGTTGAGACTTGATTTTTCACCACCTGTGACACTAATAGTATTAAAGAAATGAGCAGGACACAAACAAGCTAAAAGACAGACAGATGGACATGAATGCTATAACACATCTCATCTTAAATGGGCATATTAAAACCTTGTAGACACACAAACAGCTGGACGGACAGGATCACTACACCATTATATTTCCTGTCTATGACAAGCGTATAAAATTTCCTCAGTCTGTGCTATAGTGAACAGCAGAAAATACAAAATTGTGATGGCACTTTTTTATTTCCTGCCTCTTCTTAAAAAGTTAGTTACATATGCTCATGTACTGTATTCATAGTATTAAAAATCTAACTAGTAAATTGGCTTACAAAAATAATAAATAGAAATAAACATATGACATATGTATATGCTACCACTTATAAACTCCTTATCAATCAAGCCAACTAACTGTCAGCAAAGGGCAAGTTTTATGCTACTGTCAACATGAAGTATACATCATGAGTTGTTCCATTTGATTTGCAGTAACAAAGGGATAAACTTTATTCTTACTGAGCAAGCAGAATTGCATTTACATGTAAATACACTCAAGCCCATTCCTACTGAGAAAACAGAATATCATTAACACATAAATAGACTCAAGTCTCTTGGACCAATAGAAGAAACAGCGAAGCTCTCCTGGTGCATAAAATTCCTATTGTATTTCTGACCATGTGGACAGACTGGCACCTCGTCGACAAAAACGAACAGTTTCACCTAAAAACAGCACAGCCATCTACAGTTTGGAATACACCATGCACAGTTCAATCAAATTCCACCCACATTATTTTCTCTTCCAAGTACACAACATTACCAGTAAGTATGACCAATAGCTTTCAATACTTCTAACATCATATATGTTTTTCCTCAAATATTCACGTAAAATTATCTTTTCAAGATGCTTTCCCACTGGACAGAGTAATAAACTGAATCCTCCTTGGCTGCCCAGTAGGGGTCCCTTTAGCCCCCGCCTCACTTTTACTCCTTGCCGAGGGGGTGCTAGAATTTTGTTGTCTGGTCCCCTCTTTGCCTGGTCCTAAGGGAGTGGTCTGGACACCCGAGGGTGTGCTAGCTTTGATTGAATCATTAGCGTCCTTTTTGGCACTATTTTCAGACATGTCTGTCTGGTTTTGAGTGGTTACTATTGGTGAGGTAGCATCGTTCGTGGTCTCCAACACCAGATTTAGATCTCCACTATCTGTATCCATAATGACTGGTTCTTCCGACTGAAAACAAACAGTCAGAATTAAATTTTCATTCTTCTTTTTTCTTTTAAACTAGTATCAATTAAAACAATGGAAGAATGAATTATTTATACTTATCCATCAAAATTAACTAAAACAATTATTTCCTTTGTTTCTCTTCTTTCTCTGCCAAGGAAACAGGTTTGAGAGTAACTGCTCTTAAAGATTGAAACTTTTGTGTTTTAGGGGGAGGGAGGGAGGCTTGGTCCAACAAAGAACCTTACATGATTTTGAAACAGCTCTAAAATTTGAACAGTATGGATGGATTTTCTAAGATTTTTAAAAAATTTCTTGTCATAATTCACAACAAAACTGAAATGGATTCAACTCCCAGCAGCTGACCTTTGAACTGACTGAGGAAGCAGTTGGACTTGACTTTTCCGATGGTGTATTCTCTTTCTCCTCTTTGACCTCTGAACTTTCAACTTTTGTTTCTGTGTATAGTTCCCCAAGTTCATCTTTGCCAAAATGGATAAATGTACAGTAACCATCGGTGGAGCTAACCAGGAGGGTCCGTCCATCTGGACTCCTAATGTAAAATTCATAAAGAGCAATATTATGTATAATATGTATCTTATTTATATTGCAATACAGTACTTTAAAATGATGAATACAAATACATTTACATGGTGTAACTCAGAATTGTTACTATATTAAATCATATTTAATCAGGGGTTGGCATAAGCTCATCTCAACTTAAGTGAGGAGAGCTAACAACTCCAGCTTACATTTTTCAGAAGCTCGAGTAGGGCATGCTAGAGACAATGTGTCTGCATGAGAGATCATGATCTACTGTAAAGTGAACTGTCCTGTTTTTAGAAAGGGAATATGAAATTCACAGTTTTGGTTCCCCTTTCCCATAGATGCTATATGCCAAAATTTGTTAAAATTGGTTCCATAATTATAAAGAATCTAAAATTGTTCAAATATTGATATTAGATGGATATCTCTCATGGTGGTGAATAAAAACCTACAGCAATAGGTCACTTTGGTCAAAATAAAAATTCTAATCCAAACATTTGAATATAATACATGTATGATAAAGTTGAATGTATGATATAGTTGATGAAAGTACAGATAACTCACCATGCTAAATCACTGAGTTGATGATAGTGTATATTACTAATGTAAGCAAATGGAGACTGTTGCTGAGTGTCATACAACAAGACAGAGTCCTCTGTACCTACTGCAAATACCATTCTGTACGGTAACCTGAAAGGACCAGAAACATATTATAAATCAATGACACTAAAGGCATTTTATTTTAGATCTGTTGATATAAAAGCACCACAGCATAAAAATAATTCTAGTCCTGTGATTGGTTTGCCAATGCAGCAATGGTAGTAATGTATCCATATTGAACTAGACAGTTTACTTTCTGGTGAGAATTGTACACATTTCCTTTAAACAAGAGGCACATGGGCCACATCACTCACCTGAGCACAGTGGCTAGGAAAAAGCAGAATTGGTTTATACTTGAAAAGCTTAAATCCAAAAGTAGTCCCATGACCAATCCTGGCTTTGCTATTCTTGAGAAGATTTTTAAAGAATTTTCCTATACATTTCTATGTAAAACTTTGGTCGGCCGTTTTGGCCCCTCCCTACCCCTGGGGGTCATAATTTGTACAAACTTGAATCTACACTACATGAGGATGCTTCCATATAAATATGATCAATTATGGCTTTGCTATTCTTGAGGAGAAGATTTTTAAAGAATTTTCCTATATTTGTATGTAAAACTTTGGTCGGCCGTTTTGGCCCCGCCCTACCCCTGGGGGTCATGATTTGAACAAACTTGAATCTACACTACCTGAGGATGCTTCTATATAAATTTGATCAATTATGGCTTTGTTGTTCTTGAGGAGAAAATTTTTAAAGAAATTTCCTATATATTTCTATCTAAAACTTTGGTCGGCCATTTTGGCCCCACACTACCCCTGGGGGTCATGATTTGAACAAACTTGAATCTACACTACCTGAGCATGCTTCCATATAAATATGATCAATTATGGCCTTGCTATTCTTGAGAAGAAGATTTTTAAAGAATTTTCCTATATATTTCTATGTAAAACTTAGGTCGGCCATTTTGGCCCTGCCCTACCCCCGGGGGTCATGATTTGAAGAAACTTGAATCTACACTACCTGAGGATGCTTCCATATAAATATGATCAATTATGGCTTTGTTGTTCTTGAGGAGAAGATTTTTAAAGAAATTTCCTATATATTTTTATGTAAAACTTTGGTCGGCCATTTTGGCCCCACCCTACCCCTTGGGGTCATGATTTGAACAAACTTGAATCTACACTACCTGAGGATGCTTCCATATAAATATGATCAATTATGGCCTTGCTATTCTTGAGAAGAAGACTTTTAAAGAATTTTCCTATATATTTCTATGTAAAACTTAGGTCGGCCATTTTGGCCCTGCCCTACCCCCGGGGGTCATGATTTGAACAAACTTGAATCTACACTACCTGAGGATGTTTCCCCATAAGTTTCATCTTTCCTGGCACTGTGATTCTTGAGAAGAAGATTTTTAAAAGATGCTACCAAATTTTCATTAATTCCCAATTATCTCCCCTTGAATGAGGGCGTGGCCCTTCATTTGAACAAACTTGAATCCCCTTCACCTAAGGATACTTTGTGGCAAGTTTGGTTGAAATTGGCCCAGCGGTTCTTGAGAAGAAGTCGAAAATGTGAAAAGTTTACAGACAGACGGACAGACAGACAGACGGACGCCGGACAAAATGTGATCAGAAAAGCTCACTTGAGCCTTCGGCTCAGGTGAGCTAAAAAGTGACAAGAAAACAATTGAAATTCAGGTGTGCAATTAAACTTTTTATATGTGACAGCAACAGCAAGTCTCTATCTGACAAAAGTTGCAACTGGTAAACTTTAGTACAAAACATCAATCCTTACTGAATACTTCTACCTTATATATCTAAAATGAACTTTTACTTTGACTGATTAGGCTCTAATTTGTGGCTGATAATCCAGTTTTTGTTGTTTTTTTACTCCGTTTTTGTGATAAAATTGCAAAGAACATGTATGAACAGAAACACTCTATGTATGTACAGTATAATTTGTCCAAACCGGCCTCCGCCGGTTCCATAAAATTTGGCCGGTTTAGACAGAATCCGGAGTGCAGGAAAAATGCAGGAAAATATTAATTTTGAAAATGTCGTTGTTTATTTACAAGTTCATTATTATACATAATATAAGATATAATTAAATGATGAAATCAATCAATATTTTGGAGTCTAGAAATTATAAAATAGTCTCTTATGACTTACTGTATTTTCTTGTTTGTTCACGAAGTTTGAAAGTCGGGTGAAATGTTACCTAAATCAAAATCTACAGGCACGCATAATATAGGCATACTACATGTATCTATCAAGCAGATCAGGTTTCGCTTGTCAAAGAGCTCATTCAATGTAAAAACAGTAATTCACAAATATTTACGATGTGCTAATTATTAGATTGAACTTTTAATTTTTATGTAAAAAATTACGTCTTCCCCCACAGTGTTATGGCGCCATTTTGAAATGCGTTCGATTTTCGATCCCGATTTATATATTGATTTGTAAATCGCGTACATATTTATTTTTTGTATGATTGTTATAATGTGATAAAAGGAGTTAAAACAAAATTATTTTTTTTAAAATTGTAATTCAATCATATACTAGTATTTTTTTCAACTGGGCTGTGTCACCGCCGTATTTCACTGAGTTCGTCTCATGGCACTGCTAATGTAAACACAGATTATCAAATCCACCACGAAAGGTGTTAATTGCTTTGAAGTAACCCAGGTGTGGCCGGATTAGAGGAAATAATTACCGTTAATTATGAGCAGTTGGGACCAGTATGACCGTTCGGAATACAGAATAGACAGTATCCGGACTACACAGAATTTTTTCTAATGAATTTGTTAAAGAAGTGCATGGGACTAAAATTTATAGACGGAATGGACAAAAATCCGGAGTACTCAGAGTCCGGATTAGACAAATTTTACTGTACTTACGCAAATAATGATGAGCACTTTTCCCATTCTTTCTTGTTATTATTTGAATGATCTATAAGAAATAAATGCAATTTCATAATGCATCAATTACAAAACATACTGCTAAATAATTTTTCTGAGCAAACTTCAACTTTGGTAACATATCATTAAGGTGTACTTCCATGAAATAACAATACATTCTTGTTATGCCATATATATAACAGTAATTACAGTACATGTTTGTGATACTAATAAAATAAACACATACCTGGTGAGTTTTCATTGTTTTTCTGTAGTTTGAAATAACAAGGACAACACCTGACACAGATTGTGATTTTCTGAGGACTAGGTAGGTAAGCTGCGGGCCTGAAAAGAAAACTGACCATCAGCCAAGGAGAAGTCATATACATTGTGCAATACTTTTCATTTAACAAAAGTATTCGGATTTTGAATGTTTTTAATTATTTAGCAATTTTTCATCAGGGCTATTCCAGAAAAAAATGTATGGGAGGGTTGGACGGCACGTCATATATTTTTGTATGGGTAATGGGGACTGGAGCAATTAAATTTGCATGGGTGGTTGTCCTCATCCGATATATTTTTAGATGGGTGGTTGCACTTACCCTCACAAATAATCAACTGCAAAGAACTTCTTTCCTTTCATTTTGTATAAGCCAGTAAATATTGATATTTATTTTTAAAAAAAACGTCCAAAACAGTTGAGAAGTGTGTTTACATTGAAAGTGAAAGTAGAATCGAACAAACCGGAAACAAGGGCAGATAATTATAAAAGCACATGGTGTAATGACAGTGGAGGATTGGAACACAGTTTCTTTGTGTTCTTGTGTTCTTTGTTGCTTCCAGCTCAAGTTTCAATCCAGCAATTTATTCAAGCGTGATTACAATGGTAAATTAAATGATTTAGAAACAATCAAAGAGATCGTTTGATTAAAACCGAAAGTAGAAAAAAAACGTATCTGATAATAAATATCCTGTTGAGTGTTACCAGACTAACCTTGAATATATTTTAAGCCCGGCCATAACATACAAATGAAATATATTTCAGAAACAAGTGCCTGCACGGTTGTTATGTGGGATTGAGACTTAATTCATTTTTTTTTCACGTCCCACTATGCCCTACATAACTACATAACTTTGGTGCCCCCCCCCCCAAAAAAAAAGAATAGAAACTTATAGGCTATAGCAGGAACTCTGTGGCCTGTGTTACAAAATAACTTTGAACTTGAACTAAAAAAAATTAGCTGATTGTAAAATCTTACAAAACTTTTGTTTCTGTTAAAATTTGCATAAAAATATCTTTCTAAATTCTTTTCAAAAAAGATAAACTATTTTCAAAGTAATGAAAAAATGAAAGTTTTGTGCTTAATATTTCGATTTGCATCATATTTTTTTTTCTTTTTAATTGAGTCCATCGTTTGGATACATTCCAAATGCAAACACTCAGTTCAAGTTGCATATTAAAGTGCAAATGCTTCAAAAAAGTACCGGTACATAAAATTTTATTTTATATATACATAACTTAAAACACAATTCTTTAAACAATTATTTTAAATTTAGATGGGTGGTTGTATTAAAAGCATTTTTAATTTGATGGGTGGTGGGGGAGAAAGCAATTAAAAATGTATGGGTGGTGGGGTAAAAATAAAAGTGCCTTCCAACCCCCCCATACATTTTTTTCTGGAATAGCCCTCAGAATGTAAAACCTAAGAACTAAAATAATACTTGCCCATTACTTTAAACTTCCATGTTTGTTATTTAACTTATAAAAGAACTATATGCGGTATTAACCAACATTTGCCCCCCAAAATCAAACTTTGATGGAGTAATATTTAGTTAAGTCCTTAAACAGGGGAGTATATGCTGACTTCAAAGTACTGAATAATTTCATAAGTAATGACTTCATATGTACGTAATGACGTCACAAAAATATGACGTAAATTTCAGTTTTTTATGAATTTTGCAGAAAAATGTACATATTTCGTCGATATTTTAAATAAAAGTCACCGAGCGCATGTGTGTTCAGGATTAATATTTTGATATAATGTGTAGAATGATAATATCAATGAAAAATGTCAATATTGTTCCTGAACACACATGCGCTCTATAAATTCTAAAGCTTAAATTGTTGAAATTTTGTCCATTTTGTCCTCTTTCTGAAAAAGGATATAAAATCGGACTAGTTTGTGACGTCATAAAAACAGAAATTGTGAATACACTGCTCTGGAACTATAATATTTTCTGTTAACTTATATTTCTCGTACAATTTATTGAATTCAGCACATTTCAGGAAGTTTTCAAAATGTGACTTTTGTGGGGGCAAACATATGCAATATACCGCATATAGTTCTTTATGTCCTGCAATACACTACAAAACCAAACTTCTTGGCAATTTCAGCTGCACAAGTGATAAATAAACTCCCTTACTTGTTCAGACAGGATCTTGGCAGTAGGTATGTGGAGTTGATGATTTTATTCTCCCCCATTTCCATACATCCTGCTGGAACTATAAGAATCTCCCCATCAGGGGAAAAACTTAGCCGTCTGAAAAATGACCTCATCGTGTCGTCATGGAACATGCGGAAAGACTTTGGCTTTACGTCAGGATTACCCTCTGAGTTTTTCGGAACAGGCAGAGACATCTTGGAGACATTGTAGACACAGGATTTGCTGGAGAGATTAAATATCCTACAAGACCTGTGGAAGAGAAAATTAATTGGATTTCATTAACACAGAGCAAATGGATTTTTGAATCCATTTCTTTATCATGACGTTAGCCTTCATTTATGGAAGTGAAAGTGAAAAAGATTGCTTTGATTAGGAAGTAAATTTTACCTGTTCTATGAACTGTATAGATCAGCAATTGACATATACATGTGCTTTCAATTTTCTTTTTATTTCGTTATCCCCTCCCAATGGAGTTTGTGGGAGATGGAAATGATCCCCTCGCAACAGAGTTATCCTCTGCGTAAATTGGAAGGAATGTAATTTGCTTCAGAATCAATGTCGATTGCTGTCTTGATTTATAGGTATGCTTTAAGGGAAAGGATACTCCGCATTGCAGTTCCCTGGTGTTTCTTCAGTTGGTTGAGACTGGTTTTTTTTTTTAATAGATAACAGTGGAAGCCTATCAAGCTGGCAATATGTGAGTAAATAGTAAATAATAGTAAGTAAATTACCTGTCTGTGCTCATGGTGGCAATGTATTCATTTAGTGGATCCATGGCTACTCCCTGGACAAAACTTCTGTGCTCATTAAACATGGCAATTTTTTGTTCTACAAATATAAAGCAGGTATTGTCAAAATAATTTCTTAATGAAACATCACTTGTATTCACATGATCACTGTATCATTCATACCTTCAATGAAAGATTGGGCCACAATTAAAATATTGTTGATTTGTCGTTGCCGACTCAGTCTTACTACGTTTGGGTCGGTAGGTAGGGGAAATTTTTTTTTTCCAATTTCAGAAATGTTGTTAGTTTCTGGGTGTCATGGGTTTCCGATTGTTTAACAACAACTGCAGTCCGAATTAATTTCCAGTTGTTATTTGTTTTCAAACCCTATTAGCTTTAAACCATTAATAAATATGGTATAAAAAATCGCCCAATATTAAATTATTAGAAAGTTGGTTTCATATGCATGAATCCAAGCATAGCCGCTAGGTTAATCTAGCAAATCGGACAGGACGTTGTACCTTGAAATTTTTAATTCAAACTGGTATAAATGATTCGTCAGTATATTTTTGCCATTACACACATTACCGTGGATAGTCATGCCATCAACTCCTGTTATAAAGAGTTTACTGCTTTCGACAACCATGCTTGGATTTGTGATATGCATTTTCAACATCACATAGACACCTCTGAATGAAAACTGTTCAATCAACAGGGATTAATCTAGGGCATATTTTCTACCAATTTGGTGTTGATCCCTTAGATAAAATTTCCCCTGAAGATCTACTTTTCCCCTTTTGATGAGTAAAATATTCCCCTTAAAGTAATAAAACCCTGAAATATTTATTTTCTTTCATAAAATCTGAAAATTTAAAGTAAATATTTTCAGTATATGAGAAATATGGTTTTACTTTCCTACTTTATATGCTTTAAACATGTTTAAATGGTCATAAAAATGCTGAAATTGATTTTGCTCCCAATCAGGGCTTGCCCTGCACTCGCTTGAGTAGTTCCCAGACCCTGGCTGATATTCCCAATTTCTCAAGAAAGGGTAGTTTCCCCAAAACCTAGATTAATCCCTGATCAATCAAGCGTTTACGTGATTCTTTCCCAGTTTGTATATTACTCAAATGTACAGACACCTAAATCCGGATATACAGAATGAAAAAAGTTACGATTCGTAGCAGCTGAAAAAAATTCTTCTGACCGCACCGATTTACCTGTGTTGGCCGGCAACACCAAACAAAGCTAATTTTATTTTTGGCCCTGTGTTCAACAGAATTCCTCATCAGTGATATTCTATTCAACTTCATCTAACTTGCAGACATTACAAACTACAAGCTTTTCAGACTTCCAATGAACAAGAGGTTTGCTACGCTTACATGTATGTTTGCGAGAATATTTTGTTTTAGTTTATGCATTTTTTTGTCTTGAGTGAGTACACTTGTCATACCTTTGACAACATCCCATAAAATGGCTGTGTTATCCATAGATCCTGATACTATTCTCTTGCTGTCTGAAGACCAACTCAAGTCATATACCTCCTCTAAGTGGCCTCTGTCAAAGATGAAATAACAAATAAACTGCTGTCAAAACATTGTAGTTCAATGATTATACGTACTAAATACGATGATATTTAAGAGCAGTACCTGAAAACTTTACAGGTGACCCAAGTTTCTTTGTTGTCTTCATCGTCCTCTTGGAAGAGATTTCCGGGGTTTGCTGTAGAATCACTCAACTTCCATAATATCACAACTTCATCTGAAGATGAAAGATGCCATGTTAAATTGGATCACTTTTCTGAATATCTCTTTAAAGTTTACATTTTTTCAATAAGAAATTATTTTTCTTTTACATTTTTCAAATGGGCGAAAGATCAACTTGGTCAAAATGAGATAAATTTTGGGTTATTTATGTCAATGATCTTCCATTAACACATACATGTATAATATTATATGTAAATTTATCTAAATCATAAAACATTCTTTCAAATACATTACCATCACCAGCTGTTGCCAAATATTCTCCTATAGAAAAGAAAATACAATTAAATAAAATCTAAGACATCCTTAGAAATTGATTATTCACTGATTATTTATCACATTCATATGAGGATTTTCTTTTATTTCTTTCAAAGATGAAAAATATAAAAAAAAAAATTTGAATAAGGGATTAGAACAAACCATCTGGAGAAAACCGGCAGACATTTACAGACTTTGAATGTCTCTTCAAGTTGGATAGAAATTCCACACTGCATTTTCCCTCTGTATCAACAGATACTTTCCATATCTGAAAAGAAAAATTCTTTCAGCATACATCCATAATTTAAAGATACAAAATAGATTGCAAATAACGGTCATTGATTTTTTTTTTTTATAATTAAGACAACATTAGTGATTTTGCTGGGGATATGAATAAAAATGGCTTCATTACCCTGGCATATTTGTCAACACCAGCTGTGACGATTCTCTGGATGTTGTGTTTTCCGGGTTGGAAATCGGCACTGTATACAGGATCACGTTCATGCCAGGATATCTCGGGGGTTGTTACCTTCATTTCTATCAAATATACAAACATAGGTAATCAAAGATTACGAAGCTCACCTCGACGAATGTTATTAGTTAAAGTAATGCAAATCTCACATCATATTTTCTTAATATTTAGTATTCATCCCAATAACAATATTCTTGCAAGTTGTGTTTAACCCCTTACATGACATATACACATTTCTATGCGTGTAGCATGAAAAACATGTATAGTGTAAACAAATATTCATAACTGTTAATACTGCAGATATCAAGGACTTCAAGTTCTTTTGGATTGATCTGTTCCCAAAACTTAAACCTGGTCTCTTGTATGGAAAATATAGGTCAGATCCAGCATCCGAAGCAAGTCTGATAGTGTCCATCCTTAGATGCATTATGATATCCATGCAAGTTTGGTTTAGCTAGGGCTTATAGTTACTTGGGATTGAAAATGTAGGTCAGATCCAGCATCCGAAGCTAGTCTGGTAGTGTACATCCCTAGATACATCATCCATGCAAGTTTGGTTTAGCTAGGGCTTATAGTTACTTGGGAATGAAAATGTAGAGTCAGATCCAGCATCCGAAGCAAGTCTGGTAGTGTCCATCCCTAGATGCATCATCCATGCAAGTTTGTTCCAGGTTGGACTTATAGTTCCTTGGGAATAGACCTGCTTTAAAAACTTTAACCTGATCACTCAACTGGAAAATGTAGGTCTGATCCAGCATCCGAAGCAAGTTTTGTAGTGTCCTTTCCTAGATGCATCATCCATGCAAGTTTGGTCCAGGTTGGGCTTATAGTTCCTTGGGAATAGACCTGCTCCAAAAACTTTAACCTGGTCACTCATCTGGAAAATGTTGGTCAGATCCAGCATCCGAAGCAAGTCTGGTAGTGTACATCCCTAGATGCATCATCCATGCAAGTTTGGTCCGGGGTAGGGCTTATAATTCCTTGGGAATGGACCTGCTCCAAAAACTTTAACCTGCTCCAAAAACTTTAACCTGGTCACTCATCTAGAAAATGTAGGTCAGATCCAGCATCCGAAGCAAGTCTGGTAGTGTACATCCCTAGATGCATCATCCATGCAAATTTGGTCCCGGTAGGGCTTATAGTTCCTTGGGAATGGACCTGCTCCAAAAACTTTAACCTGCTCCAAAAACTTTAACCTGGTCACTCATCTAGAAAATGTAGGTCAGATCCAGCATCCGAAGCAAGTCTGGTAGTGTACATCCCTAGATGCATCATCCATGCAAGTTTGGTTTAGGTAGGGCTTATAGTTACTTGGGAATGGACTTGCTCCTAAAACTTTAACCTGGGACGTCGACGCCAACGCCGGGGGTATAGCATAAGCTCATCTCGACTTCGTCGAGGTGAGCTAAAAACCATACTGCATTTATGTTCAACATCTCCCACTGGATGGACATAGGTCACTTGTTTCAAATCCCTCCTCTCCTTTATTTAAATGTTGTTTATTGTAAGGTTGAATTAACTTGTGAACGTTAACATTATGAATTATTTGATGATATGAATTAGGGTTGTCCCCAAGACCTGGGGGCCAGGGAATTTCCAGACCATACATGTTAAAATGTAATTTTTCATTACTTTGGTATTCCTTCTAAACTCCCCATTAGGAAAGGAACCCTGGGTATCCTTCTACTTTTTAAACGTGAATCTCTTTGTCTCTGCTATAACAAAGATAACACATTTGGTTGAAAACTATTGGAAAACCAATAACATGTTAATTTATTGTGCACAAACCACCTGCATAATCTTAGAGACTTTTCAGATCTTCATTTATTTTTAAGGGTACAGACTTAAAGTAATGCTAGCTGTATGATCTTAACCATTCAATCAAGATTTTATCTAATACTGTTTAAAAGCTAAACAATTCTAACAGCCAGTTAATAGCTTCCTGGTTCTGAAGAAAAAGAGCATAGAAATCTTGTCTTGTCAATATTCCATTCTTTTTTATAGACTACCACTAATTCACAGATCGGGTGACAGGAAAAACCCGAAACCCCCCGATTTTTGGAGAATACCCATACAGGAGGGGTGAAACCCCAATAAAGTGGTGGAAACCCCATAAAATTGAACGTAATGGGGTACAATAAGGCCTAAGGTGATGTTTAATTGAATGATATTGACATCCGTAAATTTTTATAGCCAATTTTACCTCAGATTCGACGGAAATCGGGCGCCATTACGAGTTTACCGTACACTACGCCCGATCTAAATTCGAAGCGAGCTGTTTGTCAATATAATATTGTATAGATAATATTAAAATAATTCATAATGATTTCCAAAAAGATTGACTAGGAATAATGATCCAGTATCTTTAAGTTTTTTAAAAATCTTTTTAAATTTTTTTTTAATTTTTTATCTTTCAGTCCTTTCAAGTTGGTTTTAATATTTTTGTTTCAAAATTCAAATCATGGGCTTTGGCTCTACACTTAAGGAGGCTTCCACATGGCTTAAGAGCTGGGAACATAAGGAAACTATGAATATTTTAAGTTATCACTAATTTAAAAGGACTTTATTTATTAATTTGTCATGAATTATCAAAATTCATATTTTCCTTATGTGTGTGCTAACGTCCTTAAAATGAAATTCTGTAAAGCATAACTGTACAATTGAGAATAGTAAACCCGCAGGGTTGCAAATAACCACTCGCCCACTAGCAAATGCGAGTAAATTTTCTTGTGGGCGACCAGCTCTTGAGAATATTATCGCCCACATGGCGAGTAAGAATTTTATCGCACCTTTTCCAGAATCAGATCGTAGTTTGGTTCAACTATCCAATATACTTTCGTTTTCATATCCCAGGCGGATTTTTCTGTATTTGATCATTAAGATGATTCCATTTTTCAAATATTAATTGTAGCTTTATTTGAGATAAAAAATATGTCAATCTAGTCAACGTTTACCTGCATGTTTAGTGCATGTACACACACAGGGGTGCCTGTCTATCCCAGTACAAAACAACAGAGCTAGCTGAGATGTGAATAATATTCTCACAATAATGTTACAATGCCAACTGTACAAGGATTCACATATGCAACATGCACATTTTTATTATTTTTTATCAGACTTTTTTATTTCATAGACCTGGATTCTAATAATTTCATTGTAATGGATACATGTTGCTTTCTCATATAAATGAGTATATTTTTTTCTATTACTTGCATAAAAAACAAAACAAATCAAAAAACAAACCAAAAAAAAAAAACAACAACACACTCTCCAAAAAAAAAAAAAAAACAAACAAAAAAAACAAAAAAACCCAAAAACATTAAAACAAAAAATTAGTGACTGGAAAATAATAATGAATGAATACTGAATTTAAAAATTAATTATTAAACATAGAAGAAAACATTTCAAAACAAACACCTTAATTAAAAATTAAATAAATTAACAAATTCATTCATTAGTTTATTTAATTTAATTACATGTTATAAATGATTGGAATTGAGAAAAATTGCTTTAATCCTTGATTAATGGACTAGTTAAATTCATAAAAAAAAACATTCAATTAAAAATTTCACTGTAATGTCTTTCATTATAATAATTACATTAACAGATTCATTCATTCATTAATTTAATTTAATTACATATTATAAATGATTGGAATTTATAACAAGAGGCCCACGGGCCTTATAGGTCACCTGAGTATCATGTAACAAGTTTCCAGCGATTGTATTTGCTTCGTGTTTTAATCCAAAAGCCATGAAATTCACAAATTTTGAAAGAGGCACCATTGCTTATCAAAGGGCAGATTTCAAAGCATTAATTTATTTTTAGTCAAAGTACCCCCCTGGTACCCCTGACCCAGGGGCCCTGAAATTATCTATTTTGAAAGAGGCCCCTTTCTTCATTATAAGGCCAGCATTTTTTTTATGTGTAGGTTTAGTTATGAACATGAGAATAAAAAAGTCCCAAAGGAGAAGGAAATAAAAAAAAATTTGGATAAATCAATTATTAACATTTGTACATTTTGCTATTCTAATAGGCTCCTTACCACTGGACACATGATGCTTAGACTGTAAGCTATAACAGAGACCTAAACAATGTCGCTGGCAATATGCAATAGCTACCACGGGCAGTTTAAAACCTTGGGGAGGAAAATAATTTACCGACAGATACTTTTGAAACGAATACATAATTATCTCACCAGCATGTCATTGTGCAACAAAGTCGTCAGCATTTTATTTGTCCTTTGAACAGGTGAAACGTTTTGAATGTCACTCGTATCGATGAATTTTACACTAAACCAAGCTATCTTCATTTACCCACCGTTTCATCTTAAAACCGGAAGTGCGAGTTCGTAAATTTGAAATCTCGATCCCGACTCAAATTTGACATCGGAAAGAAAAAAATTGTTTTATTTTTTCTGAAAATTCAAAACCTTGAATTGAGGGTTTGTAAAACTGAAAATAAAATCCTAGCCTTAAATATGTAATTAGATCATTAGTAGGAGCAAAGGATAAGATGTTCAAAGAATTCATGCATTTCACTGTATAATCATTAGAGCCCCACCCTAAAACAAGAAACCCCTGCCCCTGGGGCCATAAAATTCACAATTTTGGTAGAGGCACTCTTGCTCATCATAACTATGTACTTAGTTAGTTTATTTAATACCCAGGAGCAGAGAAGAAGATTATCAAATAATTCATGTATTATCACTACATAATCAATAGAGCCCCGCCCTAACACCAGAACCCCTGACCCTAGGGCCATAAAATTCACAATTTTGGTAGAGGCACTCTTGCTCATAATAACTATGTACTTAGTTGGTTTATTTAATACCCAGGAGCAGAGAAGAAGATTTTCGAAGAAATAATGCATTTTCACTACCTACTTATTTAGCCCCGCCCTAGCACTAGAACCCCTGACCCCAGGGCCATGAATTTCTCAATTTTGGTAGAGGACTCATTGCTGATTACAATCATGTAAACAGTTTGACTGCTTGATGTCCAGGAGTAAAGAAGAAGATTTTTAAAGATTGCATTAATTTTAGTGGTTTTGGCCCCACCCCTCAGGCCCCAGGGGGGCAGGGATCATGAAATTCACAATTTTTGTTTCCCTTCACCCATAGATGCTTTGTGCCAAATTTGGTTGAAATTGGTTCAGTGGTTGCAGAGAAGAAGCTGAAAATGTTCAAATGTTAACGCACGACGAACGACGCACGACGCACAACGACGGACGAAAACGGATAGCAATAGGTCACCCGAGTTTACTCAGGTGACCTAAAAATGACTTTATTTCTGGATTAATGGACTAGTTAAATTCTTTTTAAAAAATTCAATTAAACATTGCACTGTAATGTCCTTCAACATCATAAATATTTCATACTTCTTTTATATTCTTAAGGTTTCCTTACAAATAATTTTTTTAAAAATAATAATCATACATAATATAATATTCATATTGATCAAGATTACAGTAATTATTTCCACGTATTACTAGAAAGGACTTCAGCGATCGCGAAATTAGATCGGGCGTGGTGTGCAGTATATCAAGACAAGAAGAAACCCGTCGATTCTGAGGTAAAATTGGCTATAAAAATTTACGGATGTCAATATCCTTCAATTAAACATAACCTTAGGCCTTATAGTACCCCATTACATTCAATTTTATGGGGTTTCTACCACTTTATTGGGGTTTCACCCCTCCTGTATGGGTATTCTCCAAAAATCAGGGGGTTTCGGGTTTTTCCAGTTACCGCACAGATCTGCTGTTACATACATTTCCTGGCAATGCATTGATCATAATCCAATACATATGCAGAGTTTGAAATTACAGTGCGTCCCACCACCTGAGATGCACAAATTTTGTCAGGGGCTAACAAACTAGCACATATATATATTGATGCTGGCTGGACGAGTGAATTTTTTTCTTAAATTTAAATTCATATATTTGATAAAACTCTCTCACATCAGCTATTACTGGTTGCAAAGTATAACAAACAAATGGGTAGAATTCATCAGCTTACAAGTCCGGGATCAAATATATAATGAGCTGGCCCCATTCACAATATTGCTAAAAGAAACTTATAAAAAACAATTATTTTTTCAGGCTCGTACTGTATGTCTAGCTAATTTTACAGCGAGTTTCAAACACTGACATATGATAAACATTCATGGTCATTGTCATTAATGACAATCTGCCCAACCATCATACTTCTGAGCTAAAGCACATAGGTTGGCAGATATTCAAAAGTAGAAAAACACGTTCGCCATAAACAGATCTTAGCAAGAACGTCCATTGTTCTGTCGTCTCTAACTCCTAGCATGGAATGATGGATCAGCTGATTCTCAGCACACTTTTCGTCCTGACAAATAAACCGTTATTAACTATAGCAATACACTATTCCATATTCTGACAATGGCTATTAAATTCAAAACCTATATTCTGATACCCTGTATTTGCTTTTTGGACAATATAGCACTCATTACCTGGCACTACTGTGTTTACAACAATAAATTTGGCGGCAAATTTTTCTCTTGTTCTTGGTTTTTCAGACGCTTGAATAAGAAACAAAACCAGCTACGGTCAAGGTTTTTAGTTCCGGTGCGTTGTTCGAGAAAAGAAATAATTTTATGGAACACAGATAAGCATGAAAAGGGGTTAAACTTCTGTAGTAGCGTAAGTTAAATTTGGCACCGAAAGAAGTTGGACCACCTTTCCCCTTCAAAAAAAAAAGGTTTTGCTTGTCTTTTTTTTGTGAGGTGATTTTTTTTTTCTTTGACTGTCCCAAGTAGAGAACACCTATTGAGAAAAACTGACAAAGACGATTGGAGTCCTTTCTTTCTAAAACCACACTACATTAATCCCCGCCAACCGCCAAATTGAGAAATTTAATAAAAATCGAAGCAAACTACCTTTAATTCCCAATCTCTTTGAGAGTAAAAAAACAAAAACAATATCATTTTTTTTTTTTTTGTTTTGTTTTTGAAGGCACGTAGCAACCGGGGGGGGCCAGGGGGGGGGGGGGGGCTGCCCCCCACTTTTTTCCCCAACATTACCTTTACTATATAAAATGTCTATTTAAAATTTGGTTTGCCCCCCCCCCCCCCACTTTTTACCACATTATGTTTATAGCAAGGAAATATAGGAAAAAATTGGAAGTGAAAGGAAGTTTGCCTTGAAAAAAGTTGGCCACTACCCCCCCTTGTTATTATTTACTTTAAAAACTTTAAAAGGTGTAATCTCTCCTGGATCCTATTTCCTTTCAATTTTTGGCCTCCTGAACATTTTTTTTTTCTTACACTCAAAACATTGCACATCTTACCTATATAGGTAGGGACTGACCCAATCACTAGGCAGGATGTGTATTGATGAGGAACATATATGAGTTTTTTTTTCTCAATTTGGTTTAGCTATATCTGTGAATTTTAATTCTCTAAACTTTCAAATTTATTTAATTATTTTTTATTATTATTAATAATACAATTAGTTATTTTTAATCTGACTTCATGGGTTAAACGTAGTGCTTAATTTATATTACTGTCATGTCACTTTTATTTATTTATTTTTATATAATATTCACATCATTTTTATTTTTGTTCCTCTTAATGCAATCATATTGCTTTTCAAGTTTGTCTTTTTTTTCTTTAACTAATTCTAAAAAATTATTAATTCTTAAAATTCGTTTTATTTGCTATATGTATGTGTATGTGTTTTTGCATGTTAATTTAAATTTGTAAATGTTTTCTTGTGATATTTTAACTGTGATAGTCGGTTTAAGAGCTCTACAGAGTTCATGTTTCTTGTTATGTAATGTATACAATGCCGACTTTAAATAAAATTTACTTACTTACTTACTTCTAGGAACCGCGCAGTATATACGTCATATCAAAATTGATAAAATCATAAATTATCGAAATTTCAAAGTTTTTGATTGAATAAAATATACATAATCATATTTATTTTCTAATTTTAATTTTCATTAGTTTTATTTTTAAATATCAAGATATGTACATTACGCCTGAAGATAAATGAGCTCGGGATCGAGATTCAAAATTAAACATGGCCGCTAACGTGGGGGATGAACATGTGGAAAAGAAATCAAAGACACTTTTTGTGCGAAATTTACCTTTTTCGACGACAAATGATAAACTTGAATCATTGTTTAGTGAAGTGGGACCAACCAGATCATGTTTTGTTGTGAAAGAGAAAGGTATATCTCGCTGCAACTTTCAAATTGTGGGAAATTACTGTTCATTCAATGTTTACAAATTTATATATTTACTCAAGCCCTAGAGGGGCTTGAGTTATCTAAAACGATGCTAGGTCATCGAATTACTCAGTTTAAAATTACAAAAATATATTATTTTTGTAGATAAAAATATTTCTAGAAACAAAAATAAAGCTTATCTTGGAAACGTCTGTATATTCAAAGATATTAAGTGTTAAATAGCGGATTATTTTCTATGGCGAATGAACAATGAGTGAAGCGTCGCAGCCGCAACAGTTTCTATACAGAGATTTCACGCTTTCCTTTGCGTATGAATCTCAGGTAACTTTTTACAGTCCCCGACAAAGCATCCTTAGACGAGTCCACTACAGACTCTGAAAGGTGACGCAGGTTACCCCATCGTTAACAAATTCTACAATGCATGGCCAGAAAATGTATGGCTGTACCCCCCAACTGAAATTGCTTTTCACGGGCCTGCAAATGATGTGTAATTTGAGAGACAGTAAAATAAAAGCACAAAATCAATGTTAAATTCTCGTATTCAGCTTTGGTACCGGAAATTATATACTTCTTTTGGTTCGTACCGAATATGCATTGGACATGCTGCTCAGATAGATGAACCCCATCGTCTCAAGCCACGGTCCGAAGTAGGAGAGGATCGTACATTTTGTCCGTGGTTTGCAACTATGAATGAACCCGTAGTCACGTGGATTTTTTTAGAGCCTGGAGCCCCCCCCCCCCTTTCACTTTGAAAAACTTTTCTACAGGCTTTTAGCAAGCTATCTTAATTGATGTATGTAATGAATGAGATGTACGTCATTAAGCAAAAAATACAAAAACGTACTATATAGTTTGAAGTACATGTATACTAAATGTCTACATAAAATATTTCATGAAGAAACGGAAACGTTACTATGCTCTATAAAATATTCCTGAAAGTGTGTCACGTAAATTCATCTTAAAAAGTAAAATTTTAAGTACGATTAATAATGTTTTTTTCTAATAAAATTCAATATATGAATGTTGTTTCATGTATACACTCATATAGTTTATTCAACAGAGGATTGAACTCAATATATAGCTCTCATCTTAAAACCATTTTAGGATATAATGATACTTCCTATTTGACTTTCTATAGCTTGAGTATTTCTGACGTTTTGTCAGTATATACTTGTTTATAAATCGAACAGCCGTTTAAAGGAACATCATTAAATTTTTGCTTATGATGACTCTATATAATAATTAATCAATAAATTTTTGCTTATGATGACTCTACATAATACATAATCAATAACTTCGTTTTAATTATTTGGCCTTCTTATTTTTCAGACTCTACGAAATGTAAAGGCTTTGGTTATGTTACATATTCAATGTTGTAAGTATATTTTTACAGTGTAACTTCTATTCCATGAATCTCATTTGTCATGTGATGTAAATCTAACACTAACATGTGCACCTTTTTCTAGTGAAGATGCAGAGGCAGCAGTATCAAGAATCATGTCCATTGAGGGAAGAAGACTTTTTGTTTCATATGCAAACAAAAAGAAAAAGGAGAAGAGAAAGCCTAGAGCTAAGCGTGAAGAAAATCAGGAGGAAGAGTCAGATAAAGAATGGGATGAGGAGGAAGAAACAGTTGATAAACCTCAAGTTAAAGACATTAATATGCAAAGTGAGTAAGAGGTTATACTAGTTTTAATGAAGGAAAGTTTTAGAAGATGTTCAGAAATTGTTTCAACACAAGCGTTTGTTTGTTTGTTTTTTTTTTCCAAGTATTAGTATACTATATTTAGATGTGATTATGTGTTAAATGATAGTACAGTCCAACTTTGTTATCTCAAACTTTATAAGTCAAAGAGAAATAAGAGAGATATATGAGAATTTGAGATACTCCATCGTCGGAACCCACAGGTTTTCTCTCTTTACACTAAAATGCAGTGTAACAGAGAGAAAACCCGTGGGTTCCGACAATGGAGATACTCAGGTTAAAAATATATCCAGTGGTTAGGAATTCCAACTTACTTTGATATGTCCATGGTGTTCGAGATACTGATGTTTAAAAAACCGAAATAAGATATATTTTTGTAAGGCACCATGATCCAATTTTATGAAATGACATTTTTCCTTTCTCACTTACAGAGACCCCTGATCAACATCAGAGTTGGCAGGAGCTGAAGTATCTTAGAGCCAAAACACTAGTCATCCAGGGCTGGTCCCAGGAGCACACACAGACTGATGTGGAAGATATTTTGGCCAAACTGTAATTATTGGCTATTTTTCTTTAAAAAAGAAAATATGACTTAATCATTCTCAAAATTACTCTGTTTTTTATTATTTGCAAATCATATTAAGTTTCATATTTATTTTTGCTATTAAATTCTTGCAGTTTCTTCATTCATATTTTGTTTGTATAATTTCTAGAAATGTGAAGAATGTGGCCAAAGTGAAGTTCCCAGTCCCTGACCGAGACCCACCCTGTGCTTTTGTGAGGTTTAAATCTATCAGGGACACAAACAGAGCACTCAGAAAAATAGATGGAAAAGAAGGCAAAGGTTGGAATAAAGTTTTTCTTGAATGAAACTATTGATTATTGTTAATTTATTCTTTAAATGGTCAAGCATTATATTTTTTCTAATTTTTAGGATGTACACTGAAGGCCTGTCAGCTAAGTAAAGAATCAACCCCTAGCATTTCCAATAAACCACAGAAAACAGTCAAGAAAGCCAGATTAATTATCAGGAACCTATCATTTAAGGTAATGTGAGAATCAAGGTTTGATAAGTTTTTACTTTTGTACATGTATAAACAGGAAGGTAAAAAGAAATTAAGAATATTCATGATAATGATGTTGCTTTTGCTAGAATTTTTACATTCACAGAACTTCATTAATTTATTTAAAGCATATTAAATATGAGTGACAATGAAAATTTTAAAAAGAAAAACAAAGTGTACTCGTATTATTGAGATTTAAGTATCATGATGTTTTCAAAGGAATATTTAGAAAACTTTTTAGATCACTCAATCATGTTCTTGCAGTGTTCTGAAGAAAAGCTACGGGAGACATTTGAAAAGTTTGGCGAAGTAACTGAAGTGCAAATTCCCAAATTAAAGAGTGTGTTTTTATTAAAGACAGATATATTTATAAGTTCATACTTAACTAAACAAAGATAAATGATAAAGTTTTTTTCCTATATGTTCATATGTTTGAAAAATTCTTTTGTTGTTCTTAGATGGAAAGCACCAAGGTTTTGGAATTGTACAGTTTGAGAAAACAGAAGATGCTTCAAAGGCCCTGAAAGAGATGAATGCCAAACCTATCTTAAGTATGTGATATTTTTCTTTTATCAAATGTTATGGAACAGAAAATATATTGAAGTTATCTTACTTTTTAGTATAAAATAAATAATAAAGGAAATTAACCACCTGTAGATCGCCCAGTAGCCGTAGATTGGACCATTCCAAAGGATAAATTTGAAGCTAAAATGAATAATATGCCAGAGAAAGAGAATTCAAGCAAACAGGAAGTGAACAACGACAGGGGAGATAAGCAGAGAGGTCAAGGCCATACAACAGGAAGTAACAACAGGAAGGAAGTGGAGAGGGATGAAGAGAGCAGCGGGGACTCAGGTGAAGGGCTACTGTCAATGTCATAGTGTTGAAAGGTTTTGTCAACAAAGAGTGATACATGTTATATTCAGTACTGTTTAAAAAGAAAAGTTCTCATCATATTTGCAGTTGTGACTTTATGAAAATTTGGAATCTTTTATCCATATTGTATATTCTTCAATACATCTACATTTTGTAATTTGGTAAGTTTTACGAAGTCTTACTATAAAGAAGCTGTAAAGGAAATAACATTGGTAGGGGGATTTTAGTTTAATATTCACATGCATCAAACCTATGCTATAAAATACAGAAATTTTAATCAGTTTTGCCTATTTTTTAGTAAGAGTGTTTTCTGTTTTAGAAGAAGATGATCAAAGTGAAAATTCAGAGGACAGTGAAGAAGAAACAGAGAAGAGTAAACAAGAGGAAGAAAGCGAAGAAGACAACTACGATGAAGATTCAGAGGAGGAAGAGGATTCAGATGAAGATGTGAATGATTCTGTTGATTCTGATGATGAGAGTGAGACTTCAGAGGATGATGACGATGATACACCTGTAAAGAAAAAAGGTACTATAGATAGTGTTGTTTTTTTTATTTCCATATTATACATGTATAAATTGTTGTTTTAAATTTTACATGAGATGAATCCTTTTTCAAAGATTTTTCCTTAAATGATTTTTCTATTAAGAAATAAATAACAAGTTTATAAAATTCAATGGGAATTGAAGTGAGTCGGTCACGTGAATAAATCCTGTGAAGGCCGAAGGCCTTCTCAGAAGATTTGATCACGTACCGACCCACTTCAATTCCCATTGAAGTTTATAAACTTGTTATTTATTACTTATATATACATTTGAGACAGACAATTGAATATTTTCGAATTTAAATTATTGCACTAACCGTCCGTCGTAGATTTTGAAAATGACGCAAGGTGTAAATCGGCTTGCATGGCGGATATGCTTCGAATTCGTCAGGCTAAGGAATCTATTTCGAAGGGAATATTTTGTGAAAGGCTACTTGTGATCAGTAATAGTGAACAGATTGTTGTCTGGGAATATTTTATTCGTGAAAAATGATAATCGATGCTGAAAAGACACAAGAAACACGTCCGAAGTTCGATTATAAGAAGTTGGAGGAATTTCAGTCGCTGGAAAGGGATGGATGGATCCGATGGACTGAGACACCTGTCCGAGCCAGTTAATTTGCAGTTTGATCAAAAACATTTCACGGTTTCAGTAACTAAAGGCATACTTATCGTAAAACACTGATAAACACAGAGACAATGGCGACAGCTTTACATTGAACTACGAAAACGCCTAGGTGTTTTGCAGCTGTTCATGGCATGATTGCAAATATATTTTCCAAGAGATTTACACATTTATCGTGAGTAAAATTTAAAGATAAAATAAAAGTTTATCATGAAAATTTAAGCAAAGGTCTGTCCAAAAAATAAGGATGAACGTTAGAGACTGTGCAGCTGACAAAAGTAAAGAAAAATGTAAACAAACGCTAGGCTCCTAGTTTTCTCTATGTTCACAGGTTGAATCGATAGCCCAAAAACTGTATGAAATACTTGTTTACATTTAAAATAAAATAATTATCATTTTACTTGCTTATTTTATTCATTTTCATACATGAAAAGCAAGTAGAGCAGGTCGTTTTATAATTTATGTACCGGTAGATGTTATTGCGCCGTGTGATTAGGTCACGTATTGACCTCTGACCTCTGACAAACTTCATACAGAATTGAAGATATTTTCTCTCTGTATGTTTATATAATGGAGAGATACCACAAATGTATATATTTTAAGATGAACATGTTGAATTGTAGGAAATAAGCATATTAAAGGTATACATGCATGTTCATTTTAACATTCATTAAGGTCTTTGTTTGTTTTGTTTTTTTTATTTGTTAGTGAAAATCTAACTTTTCTTTTATTTATAGGAAAATTTAACAGAAAAAGTGATGTAGGAGAAGGAAGGACTTTGTTTATAAGGTAGGAGATATTCGATGTGGAAGTTGACTTAGAAATAATTTTAAAATATTTGTTTAAATTATATGTATGAGGTAATTGACACATACATGTATGTATTTTTTTTTTTTCAAATCTATAACTCTATCATTTAATGTTGATTTCATCATTTTTTAAAATCATTGTCACCCCTTCCTAAAAGTGATGATGTAGTACACAGTACACAGTATGCACTTGACTTGCATATCAACTTTGTAGAATATAATATGTAGTAAATGAGTAGCAAGAAATTTAATTTCATTTGTGTATTTATCGCAGAAATGTTCCATTTGAGGCAGATGAAGATAGTTTAGAGGAAGTGTTTTCAGAGTATGGGAAAATTAACTATGTTAAGATTGTGATGAACCACCAGACAGGCCAACCAAAGGGTAAGGGATAGAGCCTGAATTCAGCTGACAGATGAATAATATAACAGTGTGTTGTATAAAAAAAAAAATACAGAAATATAGGTGATGTGTTCTCAAAATTGAATTAAGAATGGAAACTGAAATTTTATAGTACCATTGCAACAGGCTTTCACAAATGCATGCACATGTATGTAAGAAGCACTTTTACCTTTAGACATGCTGTTGGCATGTTACATTGTGGAATTTAAAAATCTTATGTTTTAAAGAAATGATATTCATTTCTCTCATATCATCAAAGTAATAATACACTTAAGGAATGTTTTTAAGTTTTGTGTGCGTTATTATGTTCCCCAAACGAAGTTGGGGAACATATTGTTTTTACTCTGTTTCTTATTATTAGGGTCTTCCGTCTTCAGCGGAAGACCCTTCTATTATTCTTCGGTTTCTTTTTTACCTTTATTAGGGTCTTCCGTCTCCAACGGAAGACCCTTCTATTATTCTATTGTTTCTTTTTCACTTTTATTATTAGGGTCTTCCGTCTTCAGCGGAAGACCCTTCTATTATTCTTATGTTTCTTTTTCAATTTTCTTATTAGGGTCTTCCGTCTCCAACGGAAGACCCTTCTATTATTCTATTGTTTCTTTTTCACTTTTATTATTATTATTATTAGGGTCTTCCGTCTTCAGCGGAAGACCCTTCTATTATTCTTCGGTTTCTTTTTTACCTTTATTAGGGTCTTCCGTCTTCAGCGGAAGACCCTTCTATTATTCTTCGGTTTCTTTTTTACCTTTATTATTATTATTATTTTTATTCTTTTTTCTTCTTACAAAATTTGTGCAGAAGATTTCTCGGAGATGGCTCGTTCGATTTGCTTCAAA